AACCGTAAAATATAATATAAATTTATTTATAAAATACAGTACATTGCAAATACATTATCTAATGTTCCAATGTTCCTCTTATTATAATTGGATAGCCGCGGATTTTTAAGCGATCAACGTACTAAAAATTTCCGTTGACATAGCGCCCCTGGTGACACAACTATAATAAGGTGGGAACCTGATTTGGTCAATAGTATCACCTGATTGATCCGTACTCACCTGGAGCAATTCTTCCTACAAAAAAAAAGTGTTAAAAGCCGTTTTTTAAAGGGTTAAAATAATAAGTTGACTTAAAGAAAAACCCACTCGCCAAATTCTCATGCATCTAAAGAAATCTGAAGAACAACCATTCAAAAAAAGGATAAATGAAACATTAGGAAAAATTTTGTTAAGAGAAATAAATTAATCAAAAAATAGATTTGATCTTGAATAATAGTACAAAGGTACTGTATACAGGGCGCTCGTCTTTAATCCAATTAACAGTTTGACTTAGCTTAAATCAACCCTCTCATAGATATTATATACCCACCTAAAAAAAAATGAAATATTAATAATCGTTTTGTTAAAAGTATTTTAAAGAAAAACAAAGAAAAACTTACCGAAATTCATGTACAAAGAGCCAAAGAACCAACTATCTAATAAAAAGAAAGAGAACAAACTGTCAGTAAATGTTCACTAGAAGACAGAGTAGAAAATTTGCGCTTACCAAAATTTCACGTCCAAGGAAACCTAAAGAGCCGCCTAAAAAAATGTAAAATGTTAATAATAATGTTTGTTTAAAGAAGGATAAAATAAAAAAAAATTGCACATACCGAAATCTTGTGTCAAAAAAATTTTTTGAAATTTTGAAACTAAAAAAAGTTAAAAACTCGAAATTTTTCAAAAAAGTCAAAAATGAAACAGCTTGATTAAACTTTTAAAAAAGAAGTTTGACAGTTTGATAGAAAAAAAATAATAATTAAAAAAAGCACTGATAGTTCGATAGAAACTTTTTTTTAAAAAAAAAATTACTCAAAAGTTTAAACTTCTCAAAAAAAAAGTTTCTCAAAAGCTTAAAAAGAAAAAAAAATTAGATAGTTCGATTAAGAAAAATTAAAAAATTTCAAAAGCTCAAAACTTTCAAAAAAAAAAAAATTAAAAAAAAGAAGGTTTGATAGTTTGATCGAAACTTTTAAAAGAAAATTATAAAAAAATAGTTAAAAAGTTTCGACTTTGATCAAAACCTTTAAAAGAGTTTTAGTTTGAAACTTACTAAAAGGCTAAATCCACTCGTCATAACACATGTGATGTACAAATACCCTTTTAATTATTTTTTTTTATAATAAAAATTAATAAAGTACAGATGGTGGCCTAAATGATCCGGCCAGTTTATTTTGCCAAAATTACACAGATCATTACATGTTGATATGATATAAAATACTTATAATTTTGTATTAATAATGACAAAAAATAAATTTCCATACTTCAATTCTTTCATATCATTTCAGAATTTTTTTGAAAATATGGAACCATTTACTGCATGAATTTTTACAATTACACAACAAAAATTTATAAGATTAAAAATATTGTAATTCAGTCAATATCGATCAGATAATCATGAATTTACCACCATCTGAATCGTCTCAACGAGCGAATCTAATGAGCCAAAAATTATGAAAATCCAATTATCAAAAACAAAAGATATTGTAGAAAATGTTTAAATTTAATGTTTAGACTTTTAAAGTGTAATTACATGCCAAAGATTGAATTCTACAACTGCAAAATCATTATAATTATTATAATCCTCTTAATGAGACAAATATAATAAATCTAAAATCATGAAAATCCAATCACTAGATCATTTTTAAATTTAAATTATATGAACTTACAAAGCTTCAAAAACTTGCATAATAATTATATTTGCATAGAACCTATAATTATAAAAAATATTGTTATGTAAGACTTATACAATATTATACTTACTATAACTTATTAAATTTTATGTTAAGAGTACTTAGGAAGAATATTGAAATCACATGGAAAAAAAAATTTTCTAGAATATTATTAAAAATCCATTAATAGCATACTATCTCAGTATTGATGCCATTATTGCAAATAGAGATAGAATTTATTATTAAATTTTTTATTTAAATTAATAAATAAAAACGTAATGATTATATTTAACTTAAAATTTTATTTTTAATATATAATATGTATGTAAATCTTTTTGCATTAAAAAGTGGCCGGATCATTTAGGCCACCATCTGTATATGATAAATTAATAGTAAATTTTAGTACCAGCAAAATCATAAGCAATAAAATTATAATAATAAATTGTAAGCGATAAAAATTAATAAAATTTTACAATTAATTAATTTAATTTAATTTAAGTATCAAGTTAGATGTGTATTTAAATTTAAATTTAAGCTATTTTGTTTAATTAAACTCGTATTTAATTTAAGCTATTTAATTTAATTCAAGTATTAAATTTAGCTATTTAATTTTTAAAAAGCTATTAATTTAAACTATTTTATGTATTAAATTAGACGCGTATTTAAGTATTTAAGTCAAAAGAAAATTATATATGTATACAGTATATATGTATTAATTGTAATTTTTTTAAATATAAAAGTACAAGATCATAAAGTTTATTTCCTAAATTCCTAATTTATTTTAAATAAATTTTTATTTTCCACACCTAACTAATATAATATGAAAATTATTCCTATAAAAATTATAAAAATAAGCACAAATTAGAACAAAATTACAAATGTTTCAAAATCTTTATGCTCCTCTTAACCATTGTAAGAAATCGCTATAATACATATAATCCTATCATATATCGAATGAAAGAATTACTAAGCAGATGACGTCATATAACTTTTCAGTAAAATTCAATTCATCAAGTAAATCACGTGATATTATATTAATAATAATTGAACGTCTGAACGATTAATTAAACTTTTTTTAACTCTACTCTTTTCCTGTTTCCCACACTTCCATTTTCACACTTTCGTCTTCCCCTTTCCCAATATTTTTCCTCTTTTTTCTTTTTTAGACGACTTCTCAGTTCTTTGGATGTGGTATTCTGGTAAGTTTTGTAATTTTTTTATTTTCTTTATTATTTTGTTGCATTATTCTAAATTACAATATTTTTTTTTTATTTCATTCATGCAAAAAAAGAAAAATTACGCTCTATCTTTTAAAAACAGCTACTAAATCTTTTTTTCTTTTTTTAGGTGGTTTGTTCTTCAGCTCATGGACGCGTGTGAACTTTAGTGAAGTTTTTCAAACTTATCTTAATGAAACGTTTTGCTAACATTTTGTTATTTTTTTCATATATCGAAGGTAATATCAAAATTTATTTTTGATTTTTATGTAACAAAACATCAACTAACATTTCGTGTTTTGCATTTTGTAGCTTAGACAGCTTTGGACGGATGTGGATTTCGGTAGGTTTTTTTTTAACACTATTTTTTTAATGAATTCTTTCATTTTTTTAGACAGTTGGACGTGCGATTTATATTATTTCTTCAATAAAACATTTGCTAATGTTTAATTTTCTTTTTTTTTAGAGACCCGGTTGGTAAGTTTATGAATTTGTTTCAAAAACTTTAAAAAATGTTATTTAACGTTTCTAACTTTTTTTAGGTATCTTACCCGATTTTTGGATTATGGAACAACTATTTCTTTATTTTTTTTGTAGGTTTCCCTTTGGACTTTATTAGATTGGCGGTAAGTTTCAAAACTAACTTTGAAATTTTAATTTTTTCTATTAAAGAATCAAAGTTGTTTACTGTAGTCACTAATGATAGAAGCTTTTAAAACTATACGGTCAATTTTTAGTCATCCATACAACAACCAACAGTTTGCCTTTGTTTCCGTTAATGGATTCGAAATTACCAATCAAACTGTGCTGGAATGCCCTGTGTTCAAGCTCCAGTCTGTGAATAGATAACAACGTGTCTTTCCTATGAGCATGATTCGTACAAGTACTATGCATTTTATTCACTATTGTAATGAGAATGAATGCATTGATGGTTACAATCTAGAAAACGAAAGAAATCTTTATTTCTTTAAAGATGCTTAAATATGTATTTTATATGGTTTATTTTGATTTTACATTTACAATTAATTATTACAAGTAATTTGAGTTATCTATACTCAGTTTATACATGAATAATGTTTCGATATGATTTATCATATACGTGGCCACAATGTGATTAAGATTTATTATAAAAGCTGTTATAGTGTAATTAAGATTTATTCTATATATGCCTACAATGTAGTTATAACGTTTTTAAGAAGACACTGTAATTTATTAATGATTTATTAAAGTTTTATTACATAATTTGTTATGCCAATCAACAATTTATTGAATTTTATTTACATAATTAGTTATGATGACGCTACGATATATTATATAAGTTGCTATCGATGATATTGCGATTTATTGACGATCTGTGAATATCGCCTTAATATCCAGTAACTAAAGTACTAAACCTATGACGAAGCCGTAACTAACTCATGACTAACTCATGACTAACATGTGATTAACTCTTTTCCTGATTGTTTACAAGTTGGCCATGGTTTAGTCACGACTTCGTCTTGGTTTGACATGTTTCTGTAAAGTATGCAACCATCATGTTTTTAATGCTAAGTGTAACACTAAAAATTTAATTAAATACGGTAAAAATTTTTTTTTTAAAAAAAGTAAATAAATATTTTTTTTCTCAAATATTTATTTCCTATTAAATAAATTACAGTTATGTTAAGAAATCCTTCAGTTTATTTCATATTATGGATACTACTTCAAGCATTAGTAGTTAAAGTAAATTGTCAAATGACGCCTTTTAAGCCAACTGTATATCATCGCCATACTGCTACACTCATTGATAATAAATTATATATTTTGGGTGGATATGATTTAAATAATAACCAAATAAAAGAATTTTTTTATCTTGATGTTTCTGCACCATTTAATAATTAAGAATTATCATGGCAAGATATCAAATATTAATATGGTTCCACCTCATTCTTCTGCAACGGCAGTTAAAGGTGGTCCAAATAATGATACTCTATTTTTATTCGGAGGATTTACAGTTGATCAAACGATGGCATTGGTTTATACATTTGATTCACGAAGTATTATATGGAGTATTCCAAAAATAGCTGGAGTTACATTTAGAAAATGGGATTTAACAAGCATTATTAATAAAGACGGAAGGATGTATTTATGGAGTGGGGAAACAAATACTGATTATGTAAATGAAATGCTTATTTTAGATACAATAAATCTTAATTGGAGTAAAGGTAGTATAATTAACGCTCCAAATCCAAGAATTAATTATGGTACCATTTATTACCTAACAATAAGATTATTTACATAGGTAAGCGACATATTATATTTATTTAAATATACTTGTTATTTTATTAATGAACACTTATTGTTTAGGATTATGCTATTACTTATAATGCTAATACTTTGAATATTGATAAAGGAACTGGTTTAATATTAAGTGAGGTATATTTTGTAAATATATAAATTTTTTTTAAAAAAAATAAATCTAATTAATTATGATAAATTATTTGTAGATTTATATATAGTATGATATAATTAATGACAATTGGGATACAAAAGTAAGTAATGCAAATTATTATGATGAAATTTTTTATATTCAGTTGTGAATTAATTTCAATTATTGAATTTAGGCAACATCAGGAAAAATTCCTTCTAATAGAGCTGGTTTTTCTGCTATTCTTGGTATGTAATCAAATGAGAACACTATGATTATTATTAAAAGATTAATATTAGTCAGTAATAGTAAATTTCCATTATAATTTATGGAGGATTTTTTATAAATCCTGGATATTTAGATACCACACTTTACGTATTAGATTTAGCTAATTATAATTGGTACATTCCAAAAATTTCTGGAAAAATCCTGAAGCCTAGGGTTTTTCATAAAGCAAATGTAATTGGAAAATATATGGTCATATCATTTGGTAAATATAATATTTTATGATACTCTTCTATTTAATTTGATTGATAATTATTTTTAACAAATTTTGATTTATTGATAGGATATAGTTATGATAAAACAGTTGAAAGTCGGTGATATATTATTGCTTGATATTAGTAATAATGAAGAATATATATGGACAACAATATTTGATCCAAAAATGCCATCACCACCACCATCAACACTACCACCATTACCACTACCTTCGCCACCACCTTCGCCTTCACTATCTTCTTCATCACCACCAAATAATTCAGGTAATATAGCTGGTATAGTTGTGGGATCTTTATTGAGTGGTATTTTATTAACAGTTGGAAGTTTCTTGATATATAAATGGAATAAAAATAAACTAAAAACTATTCATAAAAATGATAAAAATAATGATTACAGTCAAGAAGAAAAGGAGCTTCCTATCGTAAGAGATATTCATAATTATGAACAAGATATCAATAATAATTAGCAAGAAACTATTCAAATTGATCAAATACCTAGAAATGAAAGTACGTCCAATTATGAACCAATAATAATTCCACCTCCAATAATTAATAAGAATAACTATCGTAAGCAAGAAATTATTCTAACACCCGAAAATGAAAATACAACCAACCATGAACCAATAATAATTCCAGCCAATGATCATCATGGGCAAGAAATTATGCAAACGCTCCAAAATGAAAATAATAATGATCACGAACCAACAATTCCAGCTCCTGCAGTAGTTAATACTAATAGTTATAATAATAATAGGGCATCATCACAAATTTTTAAAGATGAAATTCTTCAAGCTGTTAAAAATGAAATTGGCCAAAATTTGAAAAATGAATTCCTTCAAGCTGTTAAAAATGAAATTGGCCAAAATTTAAAAAATGAACTTCTTCAAGCTGTTAGAGAGGATAATCTTAACATCACAAGAAACAATACAAAACAAGATTAAAATAATAATCAATTATTAACTTATGATAAAAATGAAAAAAAGTTCTATATATATAAGGTATTCGATTATTATGTAGTAACTGAACAACACAGTACTCATGCTTTATCTCGTTCCTACCATACATTCACTCAATTCTTTTTTAAATTATTTATATAAAAAAGATTTTTTTTTTATTGGAAAATTTTATATAACTTAGGCCAAATTAATGATTCCTAATTTTAACGTTATAGTTTAACAAGTTTGTGTCAACTCAAACTAACAAATAATACCAAATCTAATACAGAATATGGAAAAAAATTTTTTCATGAAAATGAATCAAGAAAGTGGTTCTATATTCTATAACTATTTAATTTGTAGAGAAATATCTTATTGGCAAAGTAACTATGGTAAAGCAATAGAAAACTTGCAAAAATCATTAAATTATAAATCCGAAATAAATAATATATACTGTATAAATACTTGGAAATAGTTACTTACCTGGTTAATAAAATGTATTTTCGAATTTAGAAAAATGGCTATAATAATCCGAATCCCACTCCAAATCTAACTACTAGTAGTAAAGAGTCGCTACTAACGAATTGATACTTTATAAAAATGATTTTACTACAGTGATCGTACCATAATTGGTTTAAAAAAAGTATTGAATAAAATTGGATTATGAAAATTTCGTGGTCTTAGATAATTTTGGCCAAATTTGTAATTCTGGCTGAAATTAATATCATGTGATACCGGGGAAAATAGTTTAGCCACTGTGTAAAACTTTTTTTATTGGCTAAGCATAGTGGCACAAAAATTTTAATGTTACACAAATTTGTAATTCTGGCCAGGATTATTGCCGATCAGTTGTAAATCCAATCCGGAATCTAGATTATTTGACCTGGATAAGAATCCGGATTGATCCAGATAAAATCCAGATCCTTTTTTTGTGTAATCCAGATGACGGTTTTCACCCAGATTATACATGCTGCCCAAATTATTTTGGGATGTCATAATTATAATTTGAGATGCTATAATTCATTCGGTTTATATATAATTTACTATGTAAAATGCCAAAATAATTTGGGATGCCATAATTGAATTTGGGATTTTACTTATAATTACGGCAGTCCAAAATAATTTGGGTGGCATGTATAATCCAGATCGAAGCACTACTCCAAATGTTCCATCTAATTGTCCGAAGTATGAGGACATACTACTTCTACACATTTCAAATGCAATGTCGTTCTGTACTATAGCCTGATCGACAAATGAAATTTTGTGTTACATATATACAAATTTAGCCATGTGTTACAGATCTCGTGATATCAATAAAATTTTAATAAATAAGAAAACTTTAAGCGGGCTAAACTTTTACTTATTTTGATAGAAGAAATAATATTGAAAATATTATGTTAAGGGTGAAAACTGATTATATTGTGACTTAGAACGAAAGTATTTAGTGAGATATCTTAGACAAATATTACACAAGAATTTGGACATGCACAGAACGCTGACAATTTTTTTTAGTATTAAATGTACAATTATTAATTATACTGAATACTTCAGACGCTCTAACGGTTCCTGTTTCCTAGTAATAAAATATTTTTATGACCAAATGACCAAGCAAGATTTCTTTGAGCTTTTGTTGAAATACCTATCTCTAATCTATTATTAATTGTTTCAGGTTGATAATGAAAGTATGCTTCTTTTAATACCAAATTTCCATCATTACCAAATATTTGATCTAAATTATATTCTACTTGTTACTCTTGTATTTATATTAAGATGAGTTTTTCTAAAATTTCTCATAATATTTGATAGATCAGATGCTTTTAATAAAAGCCTATGATTTCCAATAATCACTTTACTATTACATTTCTGTTCAATAAATTTGAGCATTAATTTTAATAAATTTAAAGCCATTTCTTTAACACAAGGATGTAAATTAAGTACAGGTGGTAATACCCTTATTGCTCTTTTACAAGATTCTGAATGTTCCAAGTAACCCATTGCTCTTATATAAAAACCAGTTGCTTTATTAGTAGTGTTGATTTTTCCCAGTACCTTTGGTATTTTTATAAAACTTCCTGTAGTACATTGGTATAATATTTTATTCATTGTTTTTAAATCATTCCTTTTTTGATGTATTTTCCATTTTGTTAGACCACTCTTAATTTGATCTGGTAAGAGATTATATTGCTTTAAAGATGCCTTAGCCTCATTTTGTTGCTTTTTTTTCAATACATTTCAACTAATCAATTGTTTTCTAATAGTAAGGTTAATTTTTGCTTTTGAGTTTTATTTAATAAAAGATGTTTTTCAATTTTATTTGACATCTTTTTAAAATTAAAAAACTATAAAACTCTGCTTTTCAAAAAAAAAAAGAATTGTATTGTCTTTAAAATAATATATAAATAAAAAAAAGATTTTATTAGTAAAAAAGAATTATAGTTATTATTAAAACATTTAAAATACAAAACATAGTATTACTTTTCAAACTTGTAATAAGTAAAAAAAAGCAAAAGTATTTATATAAGTTTGAGTTGAACTTTGAAAATTTTTTTTTACGTCTTTGTCGTACAAAAAAAAAGAAAAATAAACAACCTGGTACGGCTTAATTTTGAGGTAACAAAACACGTGACTAAAAATAGTAAACTCAGGCAGGATTACCTAGGGATAGATAAATATACAGAGCCAACTTAAGTTACACAAACTAATGGATCATAATTTGAACTGAAGTCATATATAAATTTACTATTAATTACTATATAATGATCTATACAAGTGCAAATTGCTGATGATTTTATTTTAATAAATTGTTAACCCTCATATCAAATAATTCGATGTGCCAAAATGATGATCATATCCTGGAATGCATTAGATCATTGACAATCATATCTTAAAATGAAAAATTATGAAAAATTGTGCGGTTTTATGGATTAGTTAGTGCATTTTTATGGATTAGATGTTGCATTTGATCTAACCATAAGTCCAAATTTGGATAAAAAAGTCTCACATAATTTTATATATATGTTAGTATAGCGAAGCTAACGTTTAACAGAGAAAAAGAAATTCCAGAAAATTGGAAATATCAATATCAACCTATAGATGAAATAAATCCAGAAATATATAAAAATATATTAGAACCGATCACTGATGAAGAATGGCAATTTTTTATACATAATTTACCTAATAATAAAGCATCTGGTCCATCAACCATTACTTATGAAATGATTAAACATGCATCACCAGAATATTTGAATTTAATTAAAGAAATGATATCAGGAATCTTTAAACATGGACAAATACCTAAAGATTGGAGATTAGCTAATGTATATCCCATACCAAAGCCGAAACTGTGGGGATGTGATTTAGTTAATACCAGACCAATAACTTTGCTTGAAACAGTACGAAAACTCATGGTAGCAATATTAAATCAAAGATTATCAAAAATCTTGAAGAAATACAATATTTTAAAGGGTAATCAATTTGCAGGCCTTCCTTTAAGTTCAACATTTGAACCAATAAGAATTATTAAAGAATTAATTAATGATGCTAATGAAAATAACAAAGAACTTTGGTTATTGGCATTAGACATGTCAAAAGCGTATGATAAAGTTAATATAAATATGTTAAGTAAAGCTCTACTAAGATTAAAAATTCCATTAAATTTTATTGAATTAATATTAAGTCTATTTACAAATAGGAAAAATCAAGTATTCACAGCTGGAGGATTAACCCCTGAATATGATGTTCTTGTAGGAATTGATCAAGGGGAAGTAATTTCTCCTCTTTTGTGGTGTATATACTATGACCCTCTTCTATGCGAATTAAATAAACATCACTTGGGATACAAATTATCAACAAAAAAGATTGTAAATATTTATGAGAATATCGAAAAGGAACATAAGCTATATATTTCTAATTTAGCCTACATGGATGATACTAATATAATATCAGGAAACAAACATGAATTGGAATTACTTTTATCTATTGCAGATGAATTTTATACATTAAATGATATACAGATTAATAAGGATAAAAGTGAATTACTTTTACGATCAAAGAATTATGATTTTGAAAAAAAAGAAAAAATTTATATTAATTTTGGAGATAAAAAAATTAGTATATTTCCAGTTCCAAAAGAAAACTCAATTAGGATTTTAGGAGTATGGTTCAATGCTTATGATGATAGAAAATTTGTATTAAATCAATGCAAAAATGATATTCTTAATTTAATTACAAATACTTTAAGAAGGAAAGTTATTACAGATAAACAAACTGCTTACATTTTTAACTCAATAATACTTTCTAGAATAGAGTATAGATCTCAAGTAATGATTTTTACAGAAAAAGAATGTAATCAAATGATGGTACCTTATAGAAGAATGTTTAAAAATAAACTTAAATTTGCATCAACAGCGCCTAATTCAATAGTAGAGAATAATCTAATATATAATATACTCTCTATCTGGGCCAATCAGATTCAAGCAAAGATAAATAATTTCTTTATACAAATAAATGACAGAGGTTTATTAGGTGATATTATGAGAATTAGAATAATAGATATTCAAAATAAGTTATGGTTAGATAAAAGTCCTTTAGTAGATATGCCATATCAAAAAAAAGAGATTAATGTATTTTTACCAAAATTTAAAAATAATTTTATTATAAATAATATTTTTTTAATGAAGGAAAATAATGTTTCAATAGAATTAGATAAATTGGATATTTCCAATTTGAATAAAATAATAGGTGGGCATGAATTAATTATAAATATAATTACACCAAAAGTTTATATAAAATATTTGAAACAATTAAGAAAATATAAATTAATGTTTTTAGATCAACTAACTACATTAAAAGGAGATTATTTTTTAACTTTTTGGCAATTTAAACAACGACGTTTTGTTGGAAATTTAAGATCAAGTAATATTACCCCAAAAATTTTTTCAATATTAAATGATATTACAATAGAAGATAAATATACGAATTTATTGAAACCACGTTATCGTTATAGTAATGTAATTAATAATTTAAAAGGTTACGAATTAATTTTGCCAAATGAATGTAAGAAAAAACAATTTATAATGTTTTGGAATAATGGATTACAAATAGGAAGAATTTTTGATGAAGAAAAAAAGGGAGAAGAATACATTATTAGACATTATATTGTCACAAGTGATAAACAAAGTATTTATATGGAAGTTCAAACTTGTTCTGGTTGTAATTTTGCAAATGATACTCGTGAATCAAAAAAATGTTTATTAAAGCTTAAAACATCTAATATGTTTTTAGTAGGAGAAAAAACAAAAAATTTTACAGATAAATTTGAAAAAAATAAAACATTAGTTCTACCAAAAACTCAATACGTAGATATTTTTCAGATAATGGAAATAAATCAACATTTAAATTTAAATCCACAATATTATCAAGTTATGGACTCAAGGTTTATAATGAATTTTCAGAATCAAAATGTTAATATAATTGATAAATATATAGATCTATCTTTAAATAAATCAGATTTATTATATTCTCAAAGATTAATAC